TTTTTCCCAATACAATTTTAAAAGAAATAGTATTTGTTTTTTCATGTTTCAAATGTGTATTGAGCAATTTATCAAGTGAAACATTCTAATGATAAATCACAATTTAGATTGTAGATTATAAACACAAGGTAATAAGACCAAATCCAAATAAATAGTGTGCGACGTTTTGGTAACACAACGTTGTTCCATCTTTAGACAAAAGTACTGAAACGCTGTTACTGAAATGTCACACACTAACTATTTATTTGTATTTGGTCTTATTACCTTGTGTTGAAACATTCTGAATAAATGAAATTTATTCATATTAATTAAAATATATATTCCAAGATTATTTTATACAAATGTTATTTCAATGAGTTAATATATTTGGCCATCTAATAAAATGTCCACTAGTAGTGAAGGTTCGGATGATACTCATCTTGACCAACATTGATCCAACTCTGTGAACTTATGGGGTATTTATTGAATTTATAAAGTTTGACTGTTACCAATTAATTGAAAATCAACCTATATAATACAATGTGAAAAATAGTGCAAATGTGATATTGTACTGGGATATGGTTCATAAATTGAGAAAATAAAAAGGGCATCTCACTCAATTCTGGCCTTAACTACCCATTTCGTGATTTTTCAGGATGCCTAAATGACCAGTTTTTTTATTCGTTGAGGTATAGCTTGGACCACGCTGACGAGGGCCAACATCTCGAAACGCGTACGTGATTAACTTTTTTTGATTAATCAAGAATGGGTATTTGGCCAATTCTGGAATAGTTGATATTTATTCCGATAGATAGTGCAAGCCAACAGCAACTTTCAGTTGCCCGATAAGGAGATGCCCTTTTTCTTAATGTAGAGCTTATTTAATTCAACACCTGAGAGAACTGAAGGTATAAAGTCACAGTCAGGACATAATGATAGAGGTGTGAATCAGTAGGATTATCTTATCATCTATAAATACCAATTTCTATTGGAAGTGTTTCCTTTGAACACCTTGTAATCATGTACCCTAATTTTTTCCTTCACTGTATAATATTCTGTGTTTCTCAGAAAACTATCTTCTTCTTATCTGATATCTTGTTTACACACTTGATAACAGTAACTATTTAAAACATGCTGTGGTAAATTTTCTCATTCAGTACTTTTGTCTGAAGATGGTAAAAACGCTGTTACCGAAACGTCACACACTATTTATTTATTTATATTTGGTCTTATTACCTTGTGTTTATAATCTAAATTTTGCCTTATCATCCCATATAGTTATTTAATACAACATCCCGAGGGATCAGAGCTTTCAGCTGGTGTTGCATTATAGTCTGTTAAGAAGATTTCAATTCATCCCAATATTCACTGCTGGTGGAAATATTAATCAAAACAAAACAAACAACAAAAAAGCCTTTATTTAGGGTCACTGACCCTATACAGGATTCACCAGAGGTATGCATAAGTACAAAGCAGTGAGACAAAGGAAATAACGATATATACAGAGTAAAAAGAGAAAGAAAAAAAAAAAAACAAGAAAAGGAAAAAAAAATAATAAGAAGAAGAAGAAAGAGGGAAGCAAGAAATCAACACAAAAAGAGTAGCAGTAAGAAAGTGAGGAGTGAGTATCACTTGGCCTTCTTCTGAGATATGGACTTGTGGAAACCATAAAACGCCGTAGCAATATACTTATTCTGGGTCATATTGTCAATTATTGATGGAAGTGAAGCACAGAGTTGCCCAGTTTTGAGCATAAGGGTTCTTCTTTCTTCTTTCAGAGCAGAGCAATCAAAAATATAGTGAGTGATTTCATTTTTTAGTTTTGAATTACAGAAGGTACAAGTCGGGTCCTCACCGCAGAGCATCTTGGTGTGGTTTTCTCTAAAAAAACTTGAAAGTATTCTAACTTGTGCGAGTAGTCTTACAACCGGGAAAGGAAAATCCCCTAAAAGGTATCCCTCCGTCATGAAAGATATGTGAATGTCTTTGTAGTCAGAGTATAGCTTAGATTTATCCATTCTTGTAAGGTCGTTTTGTATAGATTGGTCTGCCGCTGTTTTTAAGAGCCCTGTAATCGCGCTCCTCAGCGTTTCAGGGTCATCACAGGAAACAAGTGCAGGGGATCCATTATTGTTAAGCAGATTGGTGAGCTTTTTAATGAAACCGATGGGTGTGCCCGAAGCATTAGACAGTTCCCGTGTTCTATTAAAACATATACGTGGCAATCTGTCACTGCTCATATTCAACACCCGCAGCCAATACTTCAGGGTTAATTTTAAGGCTGTTACACTCAATGAGATACGACCGGTTTCTAATCTGATTAGGTAACCTGGAGTGTATCTGGGCAGATTCAGGAACCTACGGATAAATATGTCTTGTATATTGTCCAGTAAGTCTTTATGCTCTGTTGCCCACAATGGAGCGGCATACATCAGGACAGCTCTCACTATTGTATCAAAGAGTTTGATTGATAAATTTATTGACTTTGCTTTTGATTTTATTAATATTGGGTGTGTGGCGTTAATTGCTGTAAGTGCTTTTCCTTTAAAGTAATTTGCCTGGTGAGTAGTTGTCATTGTTGGTGTCAGAGGGAATCCCAAGTATGTATATCTTGAAGTTATTGTTATGGGTTTATCATTCCAGAACCATCTATCCTTATTTGAGGGTTTACCTCCATTACGGAACACCATAATCTTTGACTTGGACTCATTTAGTGTCATTAAGTTCTCATCGAGATATTCTTTCAGTATTTTGATCTTCTTTTGGAGGTTCATCCTGGACTCACCTATAATTGCTATGTCGTCGGCGTACAGCAATAAATGGATATCTCCAAATTCTGGCAAATTTACACTCGGCAGGTCTGAGTTATTATAAATTTCGATTAAGTCCGTGATAAATAATATAAATAGCAGTGGGGAAAGTGGTTCTCCCTGGAGGACTCCCGAGTTTATCTTAATACTTTCCGTAAATGATCCCTTCCATCTGATAGCTATAGTTGCTTGTTCGTAGTAACTTCTGATCGTACTTATGAATTGGTAATTTATGCCTAGGTTGTAAAGTTTTTCCAAAGTATTGAGTGAGGTACAGTATCAAATGCCTTCCTTAGATCGACAAAAAAGACATATAGTTTTCCCCTCTTTTTTCTTAATGATAGTTGGATTAAAGTAGTTAGTGTAAATATGTGGTCAATACATGATCTTCCTTTTCTAAATCCCGCTTGGTTTTCGGGTATAACCCTTCTTCCTTTGACCCAATCCTCCAGTCGTGATCTTAGGATTGATGTGAAAAGCTTTGATACATTGCTAATCAGTGCAATACCTCAGTAGTTGGAGGGGCTGTTCTTATAACCATTTTTAAAGATTGGGTGTATAGTGGAATTAGTCCAAATTGCTGGGCATTTTCCAGTCGTCATAACACTATTGTAGAGTTGTTTCAACAGCAGTATGTACGAATCAGGGAGTGTTTTTAATACTTCATTGGGGATGCCATCGGGCCCGCATGCCTTGTTACTTCTCAAACCAGCTATCTCCTTGTATATGTCTGCATTGGTTATCTCTGAGTCCAATATAGGATCTTTCTGAGAAATCACATTATGTAAATTACAAATTCTCAAATTTTTCTCAGTAGTCATTAGTTCGCGGTAAAAATTTAGCCAGTCCTGTATAGATATTTCTCCTTGGATTATAGATGTGCTTTTGTAGAGCGCAATAGTTTTCCAGAAGGTCTTTGAGTCTTTAGCATTTCTGAGTATTTCCTGTTTTTCATTATCAAAGCCTTTCCTTTTTAGATCCAATAAAGCGAGATATTTCTTTCTGGAAGAAGCATAACATTCTCTGTCTTCCAATCTATTTGTTTTACGATATTTCTTCAGACTTTCTTTTGCCAGTTTTTTCATATCATAGCAGTCCTTATCGAACCACGGCTTAGATTTCCTGGGGCCGCCCTTAATTGAGTAGGTTATTTTTGCAGATGACATTGCTTCCAAAATTCGCTGATTGAAAGTGTATACAAGGTCATCGGAGGCTGGTATGTTTTTTTCCCGCAATTCTTCCAGTTTCATTTTAAACATTGCGAGTCCATCGGCTGACAATCTATATCTCGTAATATTATAATCTTCCCGTTTGGTTTTTTTCTCATTGAAGTTTTGGCCTTTTATCGTTAAAACCAAAGGGTGGTGGTCAGAGTACAGTTGGTCATCGACTTTGAAGTCCAGTAAAATTTGTAGTGAACCCTGTGAGAGTATGCAATAGTCAATAGTTGAAGAGCCTCTTTCAGATATGTATGTAAAATCTCCATCTTTATCACCTCTAGATCTTCCATTAACTATTGTCAAAGAATTATCTTCCAGGAAATCAAGAAGTTTATTAGACAGAGATGATATTATATGATCTTTGGCCCTTCTGGAAATATTAATCATTAATCCTTCAAAAAAATGCTTCTATAAATTTGCATTAATAATATCAATTGAAACAACCATTGTGGTTTTTTATTTCATTTATTTAGAATATCTCATGATTAAGTTTTAGTGTGAGAGACAAAATTGTTTTAATAAAAAAATATATATATGAAAAATGACAAATACTATTTATATGAGTGAACAATTGCAGTAGGAATGCTGTGAATAAATTCAAAAAATAAATGAAAGGCTTAAAATTTCAATTTCAAAAATGTTGGTCTTCTAAATGAATCCTTTAGTCTAGAACAGTGGGAATTCTAACTGATCAATCTTGTCTTCCCTCCTGTATATTCAAATAACACTACATTACTCTTCATGGCACCTTTAATCATGGTGGGTAAAAGTTGGCGACTGCTTTTACTGTAAGTGCACTACATGTCTACACAAATGTGCTAGAGCCCTGTTTGGTTACTTGCACTCGCTGGTGGGGTTGGAATTTTGTAAGAATCGGGGCCATTGGAGCATTTTTTAATTATAAAAAGTTCCCAATGCAAGATTCGATCCCGTGTCATAGCGGTCAAAAACCAAGGGTTTAGACCAACTACCACCGACCCCTTAAAAAGGAAGTCTACAGCACCCGGTGTTCCCAGGTGGTCACCCTCCCAAGTACTGACCAGGCCGGACATTGCTTAACTTGGTGTTATGACAAGAACTGGTGTTTTCAACGTGGTATGGGCATAGTTTATGGGCAAAGTTGCCATTGGGTATCGAAGTATTGAATTAATACTAATTTATAATGTATGTATAAGAAATAAATAAAAACTATAAAACGTATTTGTGCTATTTAAAACAAATTATTTTCCATTGATTGAATCCTATTAATGTTTATCTTTGCATTATAGGGATGCTTGAACTCTTTATTCTGTAACAATGATTATTCTCAGCAGCAAAAATACAACATTCTTATACAATTAAATAAATCTGAAAGTCACATTTTGACTAATGCTCAAAGGTTTAATAATCATTATACTATCATATATATTTGTTTAAAATTTTGACAATTCCAGGAGATACCTATGTTGAGAAGAATTATATAACTTTCAGCAAGTTTTCTAAAAAATGTATAGTGAGCTTTTAGTCTTGTCCTTTCTCAACCTGCAAGTTAAAAAAAAAAACCAACAGTAGGTTGAGGAAGGGCAAGAGCCAAATAAGTCTTATCAATGTAAAATGTCCTTCCTCCCAGTGAGCTTACCTCAGCTCCAGGAGCTTCCTGGGCTTCCGGCACTGACTCCTCAGTGGCTTCCGCAGCCCCTCCTTCCTCCTTCACTGGTTGCTCGGTCACTGCACCAGCACAATATGATGGCACACACAGCAAGACTTGGTTAAATGGCTCCATGCACTACTACAGAGGTATTGAGATCTAACATATTGTCTGTTTAAGAGCCCCCCTCTTACACTCCCTTACTTAAATAAACAAAAATGTCCTCAAAGCTTATATCCATAGTTTGCTATAACTAAGATTTCCTCTAAAGTACCAGATACAATAATGAAGCTATAAAGCAGTATAGTTCATTAAACCGGCAAGACCCTGTGGTGAACCCTCCCAGCAGAGTCTTGCCTCCCTCCCAAGGAATTTTATTTTATTTGGAAAAGAAAATGTTTGCTTAATAGTTTTGTTTCTTATACATATTGGGATTCTATTTTATGTTGTGCCTTTTTTTTTTTTTTTTCATAAAATTGAGGCTTTATCATTAAAAATTGGTTAGACATTCAATGTTCAAAGTACTGTCCATCGCTAGCCACTACTTTTTCCCATCTTTCTGGCAATTGACGGATCCCATCGCTTGAGAAGGCTGGCTCTTTGGCCGCTATCCATTCATCGATCCTTTTTTTGACTTCAGCGTAATCAGAGAAGTGCTGGTCAGCCAGGCCATGTTGCATTGATAGGAAGAGAAAATAATTGGAAGGAGCAATGTCTGGGCTATATGGCGAGTGGGTAGGACTTCCCATTTGAGTGTTTCATTTTAATAAGTGCTGTAGCATGTGGCCGAGCATCATCATGTTGCAAAATAACTTTGTCGTGTCTATTGGCATCAATTGTCTTCAGTAGACCTATTCTGTGATCCTTTCATTAGGTCGTAGCAGCTCATAATATACCACTCCTAGCTGGTGCCACTAAATACAATCTTCTCGCCATGAATATTTGACTTGGCCGTTGATGAGGCACAGCCTCCATACATTGCCCAACATTTTGGATTATTGTAATGGACTCACTTTTCATTGGCAGTTACAATTTGATGCAAAAACCCTTTTCTTTTTTGACGTTTGAGCAGTTGTTCACACATGAAAAAACAGTGTTCGAAGTCTCTCTGCTTCAATTCATACGGCACCCAATTTCCTACCTTTCTGATCATTCCCATTTCTTTTAACACTTTTGACCCGAGGGACGCAAATTTGCATCAAGCTCGAACAACACAAAATCGCGGCCTCATTTTCCAAAATTAATTCTCAGCCACCGAGATCTTGTCCCATACCTTCTTGTCTATCTATCAGTGGGTTGGGGGGATGTCAGCTGACCTAATGTGCATGTAAAACATCACGTGAGACCTCCGTTCCAGCAGCCCCTATTGCCTGCCTATCTTTCTTTCTGTTTGTTCATTTTTCTTTGTTAGTGAGCTTTTTATCACTTTCCTATCACTTTTTTTAGATGAAACCTGTACCTAGTACGTAATAGATTTAAAGCGTACGAGGATGCGTTTCTTATAAGTTTTAATAAAGGCGAGCTTTCGGGTCAATAACCCTTCTACAGGACATCATTATTGACCCGAAAGCTCGCCTTTATTAAAACTTATAAGAAACGCATCCTCGTACGCTTTAAATCTATTACTTACATTATTTAGAGGATTCCAACCTTCTTTACTGTACCTAGTACATTTACCACTCAATATTACTTAAAATCAGAAAGTTCTCTTCTCTTTAGATGATATAGAGTATTTATTTGATGTCAAGTGACTCTTTGTGTGGAGGCTGCTTCATAGTTTATCATACTAAGATAAGCTATTGGCAGTAACTTTTATCATTTTATCTTTTAAAAAATATTAGAGAAAAAATTAAATAGCTAATCTGACAATAAATTTACCTTTTATTTTTACCAGTTACTCTACACTTACTGTCTATATACAGAGTCCATTATGAAAGTAATGAGCATTTACTGGCAAAATACATTTATTGATCGTAATTTGTGCGAATGTTCAATTTTCTTCAAAATACATTCCTCCTGCATCAATACACTTGCGGAGACACGTTTGCCACGCCTGAAAGGCACCCTGAAACTCCTCGACAGGAATGCTTCTCAAGAACGTTGTAACATGGTGTTGGATGTTTTCCACGGTTTCCCAATGTTTTCCTTTCATCTCTCTCTTGAGTCGCGGAAACAAAAAGAAGTCACATGGAGCTAAGTCGAGACGGTAAGGGGGGTGAGGGATCACCGGGGTGTTGCTCCGGGCCAGGAAGTTGGTAATGATGAAGGCTGTGTGACTGGTGGCATTGTCATGGTAGAGCTTGACCGTTGTCTTTAATGTCAGTCCTCACGCGTGCGATCCGGCGTTTCAATCTCCTGAGCACCTCCAGGTAAAAGGCTGAGTTTACAGTTTGTCCCTGCGGTACAAACTCACAATGGACTATTCCTCGGATGTCAAAGAAGACAATGATCATCGTTTTGAAGCGCGACTTGCTCATTCGCGCTTTCTTGGGGCGTGGGGATGATTTTTTGTACCATGCACAGCTCTGCCTTTTCGACTCTTGGTCGTATTCAAACATCCAGGATTCGTCTCCGGTTACTACCGAGTTCAGAAAGCCCGGTTCATTTTGAATCAAATCCAACAATTCTTGACAGCGCAAAACTCTAAGTTCTTTCTGGTCTTGCGTCAACACTTTCGGCACAAACTTCGCACAGACCTTACGCATTTGCAGATCCTCTGTCACTATCCCATGTACCACAAATGTGGACATGTGTAATGTGTCAGCAATTTGCTGGATGCTTAATCGACGGTCGGTACGCAAAACTTCGAGCACACGATCCACGTTCTCGTCAGTTCTGGCCGTTGTTGGGCGTCCTGAACGGGGTTCGTCGGCGACCTCCTCCCGGCCCTCCTTGAACGTCTTGTGTCACTTCCCAGACTGTGATCTTGAAATGCAATCGTCCTTGAAGGCATTTTGCATCATCTGGAATGCTTCGGTGGCATTTTTTCCTAGCCTCACGCAAAACTTTATAACAAATCGTTGTTCAAGCGAACGCTTCATCGCGCTATGTTACAAAAGTTGAAAACACACTTTAAGCGGAGGAATGTATCTCCCCTCACACTGCTCGAACTCAACTGACGGCTGCATGGATTGAAAGGGCATATCCCTCCAGCACATTTCCCACGGTTTTACCGTGCTGCTATCTATCGTCGCGTCACAATAACATTATGCTCATTACTTTTATAATGGACCCTGTAGTACTTGGGAGTGAATTTGTATTTTGTACAATCTCAATAAAAAATTAAGCAATATTTAAAAAATATATATATTCTATTTGTAATCAATTTTTTAAATTTTTATTTATTATTTCAAACTCTATAGATTATATTAAAATAAAAATTGCATTCTTGAAACAATTTTTCATTTATCAAAAACTTTTTCTAAACAACTCTATTTTCATACGGCCCAATGGACCATGCAACTCCACCTTTGCCGGTCCCAAGCCTGGATGAAAAAGGAGGAGGGGGAGCAGTAACAAGCTCGCTAAAAAAACCTGGGCTCAGCTGACCCGGCTGATAGTACCCTGTAAGGGCTCCTGATCCAGGGATACAGGATGAGCAGCGTTTGTACTCTATGTTAGGAGAAGTTGCACATGGCGTCTGTTCCTCATGTCAGAGGCGGCCATTTCTTTTGGAGTTAAGTCGGCCTGCCACTGAGTAGTGCTCCCAGTCTTAATGACAAAGGCAGACACATTCTACTTCACCCAGTCATGATGGTTGTCAATTCTCAAGCTCTACAAGCTTAATACCATAATATGATTGAGTGGAGATAAGAAAGAAGAAGACTCTGGAATCATCCGTCCTCAAAGTGTTGAGCAATTTAAAATGGCTTTTTGAGTGATTCCAAGTGTTTTTGTGAGTTCCTTTTGGGTTTGTGTTGGATCTTCATCTAGCCTTGCCTCAATTCTTCATCCTCAACCTTTGGTGGCGCTCAGAGTCTTTCATTGTCTTCCAAATCAAAATTGACACTTTTAAACTGTGCAAACCACTTCTGACACATTTGTTCAGCTAGAGCCTGGTCACTATAACTTCCACTAAAATACGATGACCCTCAGCCGCCTTTTTTCTTCATATTGAAGTAATGAAGTAAAACTCCCCGCAAAAACACATTATTTGGTACAAAAGTTGACACTAGTTTGTTTGTTCATACTTCAAAAAAATGACGGTTACTGAAAAAGGAAGCCTTATGTTGACGCTTCAAAATAATGGTGTCGCCAGATGAAACAATGAAATAATAAACTAGTAGCGCCATCTTTATCAAAACCGCACAAACTTATTTATATTCCCCATTTATACTTCCCAATATGCTTGATAGTTTTGTTTCTTATACATAGATGTGCCTTATGCTCAAGTGTTTATACATTCTTTTGTTTTACATTCTGCACATGTTATATACCATTGTGTTGTTAAAGGTTTCATTTTTTAGATTTAGTGTATT